ATTAAAAACTGCCGCTGGAATTTGGATTGGGATTGCATTGTATCTGTAGATTGCTTTGGGTAGAATTGACATTTTCACTATGTTGAGTCTACCTATCCATGAGCAAGGTATATTTTTCCACTTATCTCATCATTAAAGTTTGTTTTTTTTTTTAAAGTATGTTAAGGCCTAACTTCCGAGGATGTGATATGAAGTGCCATGAAAGAAGCATGCTAGCCTCCTTAGCGCTCACCCAGGGCGTGGGTCTACGTTACTGTAAGTCCAGCGTGGTAGCATTCCAGGCCATGTGGGTAGTGGTTGCTCTTATTTCCTTGCTGCTGTGTTTTTGTTGTATCTTGTTTTGTTTGTTGTTTGTTTTATTTTTGTTTTTCCCGGGTTTTTTTTCCTGCTCTATAAATGTTTAGTAAATATTATTTGCAGTGAGATTTTGTGCTGGGCAGTGTACTCTGTACTACGGGTACAAAAGGAATAAAATAGTTTTTGTCCTGGAGGTATTCATAGACACGTAGATGGATGATTTCTGTGTAGCTGGGCAACTGCAGTGCCAGAGGTAAGCACAGGGGGCGCTAAGACTATGTTTTTCAAACTGTGCTAGATCATGATTCATTAGGGGAGTCATGAAATCACTTTTATGGGTTTTGACCCATTTTTTTAACTGAATACAGTAGAACAGAATAGAAAAGAATATGTCAGGGGGGCGTCACACTAGTTTAAGGTTAAGTTTTATTTTTTGAAACTTTTAGGTGTGTGTGTGTGTGCATATGCGTGTGTGTGTGTGTTGCAATATAAGATGCAGTTTATATTCTGAGTTGTGGGTCAAAAAAAGTTTGAGAGCCACTAAGACCAGAAGGACAGAGGAAGAAACTCTCGTAATATCCTCTGTGAGCTCCATGAGGGCAGGAACCAAGTCTTCTCTTTAATTTCCCCCAGCGCTTAATCCATAGCTGGTCATATGGTATGTTCACTGAAAGAAGGAAGGAGGAAGAGGAGATTCCTTAAGCCAGTGTTGTTTCTTTTTGTGCCTTTTATTTTTTTAAATTGTGGTATAATTTGCATACAGTGACTGAACTTAAGTGTTACAGTTTGAAGAGTTCTGACAAATTCATACCCTCTTGTAACCTATATCTCTATCAAGATAAAGAATATTTTCATCACCTCAGAATGTTCCTCTTGCTTGTCCCTAGTCAATCCATCCCCACCCCAAGGCAACCTCTGTTCTGATTTCTTTCACCATAGTTTTACCTGCTATTGAACTTCACAAAGATGGGATTATACAGTATGTACTTTTTTGTATCTGCCTTTCTTTGCTCAGCATGATATTTTTGAGCTTCACCCACATTGTTGCTTGTATCAGTGCTTGTTCCTTTTTATTGTGACCTATGCAATAAAAAGGACAAAAAAAAAAGAACCGCTTTGGCGATGAACTGATGGTTTGAGCAGGAGTGAGTAGGGAGGCTGGGTACCTTGGCATTCTGATCTTGACAGTCTCCAGAATTTGCTTTGAGCCATGGAATGAATCTTGTTCCAGTCCATTGCCATCTGTGTTATGCACACCATTAGGCCTCCTTCCTAGGAGTGTTGAAGCTCAATGTGTGCTTAAGGTATTGAGGATAAGAGAAAAGAAGTTATTTTTTTTCGATACCAGTACATTGACACAAGGACTAGCCACCGACTTCTTTTTATAGTACAGTGTAAGATTTAAAGTCAGACTATAGGAATCCACGTGAGGCATCTGACACATGCTAGGAAAACCTTGACTTCAGGCCAAAAAGACATTCTGAGCTCACTTGATAGCGTCTAAGAGCTGGAGCCTCATTGGAATGTAATTTTCCTCCCCCGTTCTCCTGTGGCTCTCTCAACCCAGGAGCAGATGGATGAATGAAGAACAGCGCATTGTCTTCATGCACAGCTGAGTGCTGTGAGTGCCATGTATATGGATAGAAAGTTTGAGAGGTCATGTGCTCCAAAGTCAGACACAAGGGAACTCAGTTTTCTCAACAGGAAATTTTACTAAGGGCAGTACTTTTCTCTTCTGTATGAACTTGAAGTGGGTCTTGAGAAGCACCCATTTTTCTTTTCTAGGACTTCTGCAGTGTCTGATGAGGTGGTCAGCTGGTAAGGGGTTAATGAGCTATCAACTCATCACACATCTGGATGCACTGTCATTAAATTCTTACGAAAATTTGATTTCCCCCGAGAGAGTTTTCATCAAACATTTATATAACCCAGAAATGGCCAGGGGAACCCGACATGGCCACAGAACTCATCAGAAGGCATGGAAAGCATGCTTTGTTCCCACTGTGGGCAAAATAATGTGCTGTCTCTACTCACTGGGATTCTCCTGAGAACAGGGATGAAATATCCAAATCCTGTTTACCTAACCTTGCCAGAAATTGCTTCTTTGCTGAAGCCTCAAATTCTGGCTATTGCTCCTACAGACATGTGGCTAGCCAGGCCTTGGAAAACCTATTCCAAACTTCCCTGGTTGGCTGGGGCCATGGAGGATGCAGAGGGCACACCACAAGTCAGTCCTCACTGGCGCGGAGAAGCTACAAAACAGATACATAGATAGAGGCAGTGGACCAGCCGTGAGAAAGCTCCCTGCCTTCCTTAGGCCATACAGAGTGAGCAAAGAGAAGACTTCCGTGGTCACATCTACCCATTTGACTTAGATGAGTATTCAACCTATGTGTATTATTCCCGAAGGAGCCCTGGTGGCACAGTGGTTAAGCATTCGGCTGCTAACCAAAAGGTCGGCAGTTTGAACCCAGCAGCCACTCTGTGGGAGAAAGATGTGGCAGTCTACTTCCATAAAGATTACAGACTTGAGAAACCTATGGGGGCAGTTCCACTCTGCCCTATAGGGTCGCTATGAGTCAGAATCAACACAATGGCAAAGGGTTTTGTTTTGGTTGGTATTACTCTCTTAGAGGCTGGAATCTGTACTCCTGGCATCAATCAATCAACTGATATTTATGGAATGCCTACTGTGGGAAGGGCATAATAGTGGGGGATATAAAGAAGAGTAAGACATGGTCGTGCCCTCTACAAAGCTTACCTTCTGGTCGGGTGATAGGAAATGGCGATCACAGAATGAGGGAGTGGATTCTGTGACACACGATGGCTGCAGACAAATCATTGTAGGCCAGGGTCGCAGGGCTGGCTGGCTGGCTTCCCAGAGGCTGGGAATTTGACTTAAATCTTAAAGACTGGGTCCAATTCCAACAGCTGAGAAGAGTGGGAAACCTTTGAAGAAGGAAGGATGCTGGGAGCTGAGGGGCAGACATCAGTGGATTTGAGGATTTTATAATAACAAGTGTCTGCATGGTGCCAGATATATGTAAATACTTTGCCTATATTTACAGGCACAATGACCTAGGAGGCTGATGTGATCCTCATTTGAGACTCAGAGAGGTTAAGTAGCTTGCTCAAGGTCACACAGCTGATCTCAGGCTCAGGCTTTTTCAGTACTCTGCCCAAAACAGTGAATGTGTCATTGGATTAGAACAGACAAGTCTGAAGAAGAAAATGGAGATAATGTTGGATAGACAAGTTGAGGACAGATTACAATTTGTTCTGGCTGTTTGACCTTGCTCTAGTTCTTTAACTTCACTGAGCCTCTGCTTCCTAGTCTGGAAAATTAAGATAATATCTACCTCATAAAGGTTATTATGAGGATTAAAATGAAGAATGTATATAAAGCACTTAGCACACTGCCTGGTGTAGAAAATAAGCACAAGTAGTAAATAGAGGCAGTTTTATTGCCAAACTGAGGAAGGGAGACTTTACCTTAGAAATAAATGGAGCTATTATTGGTTCTTCAGCAGTGGACTGACATAATAAAAGCCACATTTTAAGACAGTTATGCACCAGTGCTGGTGTAAGATAATAAAGGTATGAATCAGGGTAGGTAGGGGTAGTGAGAATAGAGAGGAAAGGTGAGTTACCAAAAGCATGCATTGCCTCCCCCTGATTCTTTTCTGCCCTAAAGAGCCCCCCCGACACACACACATTTGCTCAACTTATGGGCAGCACCATGACTTCTGGTCATTAGACTTACAGACATAAAGTTAATCCTCAGGGTCTACACAGAGCTGATCCTGAAGGTTTACAGGGTCAAGGGCAGCCTGGCTGGATCAGCAGCATCTCCCAGAGGAGGAAGGGCCGCTGCACGTGCAGCCTCCCAATCAGCCTCTTTTGTCTAGCTTTCATTTACTCTTCCCTCGCAACTGAATTGAGTGTCTTTCCATCCTCTGCCTCTAGTTAAGCTGTAACTGCTGTTCTTCTGCTGCAGCCAGGCACCTGCCAGGGCCTGTTGGCACTGAACCCAGAGCTCAGCCTGACAGGCGCTCCATCACTGAACATCTTGTCAGATCCTGGGAAGGAGGAGGCACATCACATGCTTTTTCTTCCTTGCTAGTGGCTGCTCCCAGTGTGATTGTGATGAGGGGGGAAGGATGGGGGAGCAGTTAATTTGATGTCTGCTTATGGAATGAAATGGCATTCAGACAGATGGTCTTTAGCTATGGATTCTTCTCTGACATTTCTTCTCAGTTTCTGGACCTCAAAGCTGCTTGAGCAATAGAGAGGACAGTAGACGTCCTAGGAATTTGAATCTCCAGGTCCTTCCGGAGGGACAGGAAATATTGTCATAAAGTCATAGAAGGTCGCTGCTAAAGAGGATCTTAGGAATTACATTTAGTCCAAGGGTTTCCAGACTTTTTCTCTAGCAGAACTCTTTCTTCAAACCATACCTTACATAGAATCCCAGTAGATTAAATAGAAAAAGCAGCAGAGCTCGTTTGGTTGAAGCAGGGGTAGGCGGTGCCGAGTCCTGCTAGTTTGGCTGTCCTTTTACTCGCTTCTCAAGGGCAGCCCTGGAGCGCTGGCACAGCACCTCAGAGCTCTGGCATACAGCTTGAAAACCACTGACCTGGTCAGATCCATTCATTTTAGAGTTGAGGAAACAAGCTCAGGGATGGGAAGTGGCTTTTCCAAGGTTGCTTGACTTCTTGTCCAGTGCTTGTTTTATACTGTTATCTCTTTCGTACCATTTTCTTTTTACATTTTGCTTTTAAAAAATTGGAATCCTTTACATGATCTGAATTTTTCCATTAAGACTTATATTTCAAGTTCTTTGGTCCTATATATGCTATTTCTGTAGGGCGAGAGCTCTGGTACCGAAATCCTAGTCTGCAGCTAAGACCTCTCCCAGAATGTTGGGAGTTGATGGGGGAAATGACTGACAGAGCTAGGACCCTCCCCCATTCTCTTCTTCACTCACCCAGAGTTCTGAGTAAGTCTGGGTAAATTAACTGCTCTTGCCCCACTCCTGATTTCTGATTCCTGAATGCTGAAATGGCCTGGCTTGGTTGGTGTGTAGTGTGACTCACCTACAGTAACCCTCAAGGAGTGGCAGACTACATTTTTATAGTTGAATTTTGTCATAATGGGCCCCAGATAAACCTGAAAATAGAAGAGGATTCTGTTTAGCTCTCAACTCTTCTCATGTTTACTGAATAGCACTATACAATGCATAAGTAAATAGTGCCTTGTCATCTTCATGAATCCTCCTCATCCTAACCACCACACAGTCCTCTAAGGTGTTTAACCATTGCATTGGAACTCAAGAACTGAGAAATCTCACCCCGATCTTGTTAAGTCAGCACGTCAGCCTTCTTCCTGCTTCACAGCCAATCTCCTTGCCGTGGTCAAACCAACCTGAGGGTCACCCTCCTTTTCTGCCAAGCCTTGGGGTTGTCCACGGTTTGCTCATATGCCTTCTTCTTCCCACAGCAGTGTTGTGACCTAGGCTACCATGCTAGCCTGAACCGGGCCCTGCGCACCTTCCTCTCCGCCGAGTTAAATCTGGAGCAGTCAAAGCACGAGGGTCTGGATGCCATCGAGAATGCAGTGGAAAACCTGGATGCCACCAGTGACAAGCAGCGCCTCATGGAGATGTACAACAATGTCTTCTGCCCACCTATGAAGTTTGAATTCCAGCCCCACATGGGGGACATGGTGAGGCCCTATCCCAATCCCCACACCCCCAAGGGGTTGGAACTCACTTGTCTCTAGAGTCACAACACTGAAGCTACATTATTCTGGGGAGAGAGAGGCCTGGGTCTGGCTTCCTGTCAGGTAGGTGTCTCTCCTACTGAAGTGAGGCATGATCCACTCATTCAGCAAATGTTGACTGAGTACCTGCTGTCCACCAGGCCTGGCTGTAGTCATTGGGGATTTCAGTGCTCAGGGAGCTTACCATCTGGTTAGGGAGATCTCTGAGGTTGGGAAGAAGTTAGAAAACTGCATAGGGAGGGACACCTAAAGGGGCCACCATGATCAAAGGAAGTGAAAACCAGTAGGTTTGTTCCAGAACTGCTAGTAGTTCAGTCTGGTGGAAAGGAAATAGTGGTGCCAAATGGTAAGGCTGGAAGAAATGAAAGCTGAGGTGAAGCCAGGTCCTAGAGAACTTGTGAGGGGAAGGTTAATGGGAGAGTAGGTTCTTTCGTTATTGGATTCTGGGGGATCTTATTCCCCTGAAGTTAGAAGATTATAATAAAGTCTGTACTTCCGCTTGGGTATTGAACGCAAAAATCAGAATGGATACCTCCAGAAAGGAGTGGAGGGAAGATGCCATCCTGAAGGCCTGATGTTGGTTGCCCAGGCAGGGGAGCATGATCATGAGGGCTTGGTTTTGGACTCTTCACTTCAATGATTGAAACAAGAGAGGCCTAAATAAACTGAAGTGAGAGGAAAGAGAAGTTCCTTGGTTTTCATGGTTCTGCATCTTTTGGTTCCACTTCTGGTCCATACAAATCAGAGTGAACCTAAATCCTACTGGTAGGAGCTCTATTTTACTTTCTGGCTAAATCAAAAGGAAGGTGTATATAGGCTTATGTAACAGAAAAGTGCAGGATGGATCTTTAGGCCTGGTTGGATTCAGGAGCAGAAACGATGCCAAGACTCTGTTTCTCTCTGTTTGCTCTGCTTCCTGTTCTCAGGCTCTTTCCCTGTGGGAGCAAGGTGACTGCATTTCCAACCTTATACCCTTGTAGGATGAAATCTAGTAGAAAGAATATCTGCCTCCCTCTCAGAAGCCCCCACAAAAGTCTCATTGTGTCTCATTGGCTCCGAGTGGGTGAAGTGCTTATCCCTGAGCCAATCACTGTGACTGGGTATCTACAGTTTTCTAATTGGCTTATGCCTAGATCACATGCTTCATTCCTGAGTGGGGCAGAGCTCCATTCAAAGCACGTGGCCTGGCTTGTGGAGGGGTAGTTTCCCCACAGGGCTGTCAGTCCAATTACCAAAAGAAGGGGGAATGGATGCAGGGTGACCAAAAAAGTACAACGTTCTCTCACCAAAAATGATGCTTCCCTTAGGATTAGGATCCAGACTGCTGAGAAAACCCTGCTCTGGGATCAACAACTGGAGTAGTGTAACCAGAGGCTTGCTGCAATTGATAGGCCATTATGGGGAGTGGGACATTTCTATCCTACAGACAGAAATATGGAGATGATTTCTTTCCTCTGCTTCTTGGGGAAAACCACACCATTTACAGTTTGATTCCATTGCTGTGGCTTCAGAAATGTCAGTGTCTGAACAGATGGGGAAACGAGATGGCAGCATGTACAATTAGAGTTGGGGGAAGGCGTGTCACCAAGCCCCAGGAAGCCTCATTCCTCACCTGCCCTGGCTGCTGGTCAAACTTGCCTTCCAAGCCCCTGCTGTCAGCTCCTCTCCAGCTGCCACTGAGATTCCTTCCCAAGAATCAGTGGAACTTGGGGGCCAGCTGAGTGGAGTAATACATTTTCTGATGTTGACTGAGTTGCCTTCTGAGCCAAACAGCTTGTCTCCATAAAGGGGGAATCCAGATGCGGGGTGCTCAGGCCCTCTCCCAGCCCTGTCAGAGCTTCATGTCTATTACTCCAGAACACAGCTGGAATGCATTACCTTGCACCCCGGTAGAGGACCCACTGCCAAAGCATGCATCAGCAGCTCTGCTGCTTCTTAAAGCAGCAGTTTTAGAAATGGCTTTTCCTCTGTGATTCCTCCCTGCTAGGTCTGGTTTACTTTAAAAATCAATAATTCTCTCTTCTGCCTGGGCCCCTCCCATGTGTGAGATAGCTGATCAGGGACTGAGCCAGGCAGTGGCCAGGGTCAGTCCTAGAGCTTGCAAAAGTTCTGCATTCCAGTTTAGCCTTCATATCAGTGGATAATAAGAGATGAGAGGCAAGTCATCCTTGGTCCCTGCAGCTGATCTGTCCCCATCAGTGTGGGCTGTCTGCAGAGTATGGAGGCAATAGGAAGGAGCTGCCTGGAAGTCCTTGTGCTAGGGCCAAAGTTCAGGTGGCATTTTGACCAGAAGCCCTAAAATTGGCCAAGGCCCCACACTGACTCTGGCATTCTGGGGTGCTCAGCAAATGAGTTGACGCCAAGTGCTCTCAGATATACTAGGAGGAGGTGCTTGGCTCCACTCTTGCTGCCCCCAGAGGCTTGTAGGGCTCTGAATGCCTGACTGGTGACATCAGGCAGCCAGAGAGTTCCACTCTTGGCACTAACCCTTCTGGCCACTGAGCTTTCTCCATTGTGTCTCTCTATCCAAGAGCCAGAGTGAAGTCATCTCTCTTTAGATCTGAGAGCCAGCTCAGGCCAACCTCTCGGCTCGGGGAGGAGGTTAAGTCAGTTGGGAGCTTAAAAGCCAGTGAAGGAAAAGGTCAAGTCCTAGCCTCCGCCACTTAAAGAGAAGTTTTGTCTTTTCAAGCAAGAGAACAGTCTGTGGTCATGTGAATGTGCCTGCTCGTTGCTGAGGAGGAAGGAGACCATTCTATCCAGATGTCTCTGCAGATGACAGGCTAAGGGACACACGGCAGCAAGGTGACAGAAGCTACCTCCACATGGCTCCTGTCTCCTACCTCCCAAAGCTCCCGACTCTCCCAGCCTTCTGCTCCTTATCCGTCATTTTGGGACTGCGGTGGTGACCTCAGGCCATAGCCATACCCCATCAAGAGGCAATGGATCGGCCATGCCTTCACACAGAGTGTGCTTGGGGAAAACTTGTCAGTAGTCCTTGGGGGAAAGACTGGTGAAGACCTGGGGTAGAATGACGGCTCTTTGGTAAACACCAAGTTCTACCGTACTCCATGCCCTCTGGGGCTGTCCAGCATAGTCTGCAGACTTGTCCTGGCTTCACACTCTTTCTGACTGATTCAGAGTCTCGTGCATGGCTCGGATTTATAAACATATGCTGGCTGCCAACAGCGACAAGTTAGCCTCCTGACCCACTTCTCTCCTCCTTTCACTCTGATGTACGAAGGAGGCTGAGGGAGGGGCCAGAAAGGGGGCCACTTGGACCTCTAGCAGGAAATCTTCACTATGTCAGAGTATTGTGTTCCTGGAGCTGGGCCTGCCCAGGGCTTTCTGCTCTGGCTTCCTCAGGCTCCCGTAGAGCCACAGACCCTGTGTAGGCCCCAGCTTAGAGATGGGCTTCAAAGAAAGAAGCTTGGTCTTTCTAAATGAGTCCCCCTACCCATTCCTTTCCTGTGATATTTGGTCCTGGAAAAGGTCCACACACTTTGGCTTTGGATTTTGTTTCAACATAGAAACTGTGAGCCTTACACCTTGAGTATGAGTATTTTTATTAGCAGTAATGGGAACTCTGGAACCGCCAAAAGCATTGTGTCCTCTTCCTGACCTGGCATTGCTTTCTTTTGGCAGGCTTCCCAGCTCTGTGCCCAGCAGCCTGTCCAGAGTGAGCTGGTACAGAGATGCCAACAACTGCAATCTCGCTTATCCACCCTGAAGATTGAGAATGAAGAGGTGAGCTTCCAGCCTGGGAGGCTCAGAGCCACCCGCAGAGTTTCTCTGTCCAACCTCTTGCTGCTGCCTGTCTGGGAGCAGGTGGATGGAGCGTGCAGAGAATGTCCGGGCTGCCGCAAACATTTCCTAGCCAAATGTAGGCTTGGACTTTACCCCTCTGCTACATCCTGCCCTTGAACTCCAGGAAGCAGCTCTTGCATTGCCAAAGGTTGAGCTCTATTTTGAGCTTTTGCAGAATGCTTTTTTTCCCCTCTACACATTTCATCAAAATGGCACTTGGCAGCTGTGTGAACAATATTGTGTCTCGGAAACCACCCCCTCATGCTTGGCTTTTTCCAGCATTTTCAAACAAACAGAGGCCTTTGCTTCTGACACTTCAAACATCTCCGTCCTCTTAGATGAGGGTGACTTTCTTCTGGGCCCAGCGTATTTGCTTTCAACAGCCGGTTCAAAAGGGCAGTATAATTGATTATCCAGCTCTTTTCTTTTGAGCTCAGATGGCTTCTCACTTTGCATTTCAGTAGTCTTACTGTTTCCCAGGAAGATCAGGAAGAACTGATCGCTTAGTTTGCAAATGGGGAAACAAATGAATGGATCCATTGAAGGTCATGAAACAGTACCTGAGGTAGATGGAAAATTAGACCCCATCATACGTTTTAACTAGCTCTTTGTACAATGGGATTGGTTTGGATTCATTTGATTCTCTTTTCCTTAAAATTTCCATTATAGCTGAGAGCTAATATCAGATTTTAAAAGTAAATATTAAATAAAAGAGCAGGGTTATACACATAACATGAAGGGAATAGTGGTTTTTAGGTCCTCACTGGAGAGAGTAGCATACTGTATGTAGCTGAGTCCATGTGATGGTTCTCACGTAGCACTGTCAGGTGGGGAGCAGAGCTGCACCTTTTGATGGCATTTCCCCTCCTTCCCCAGCTCTCTCCGTGTGCCCCACTTTAAGCTTCCATCACCTGCTGTTTTGCAGCTTACCCCTCATGCATTATGTTGGCCCTTATCATGGCAGGTGAAGAAGACAATGGAGGCCACCCTGCAGACCATCCAGGACATTGTGACTGTTGAGGATTTTGACGTGTCTGACTGCTTCCAGTACAGCAACTCCATGGAGTCTGTCAAGTCCACAGTCTCAGAAACCTTCATGAGCAAGCCCAGCATCGCCAAGAGGAGGGCCAACCAGCAGGAGACAGAGCAGTTCTATTTCACGGTGAGGGAGCTCGGTGACCTTTAAAGAACATCCATGGGCACTTTCAGGTGTCTGAAAGGCAGCCTTTGCATATCCTAGATTCCCTGTGAGTTGGAATTGACTTGACGGTAGTGGGTTTGATTTTTGGTTTCATACTTAAAGACCGTCCCTACATGTAAAGGCGGAAACATCTACAAGTTGTATATGTTTAACAGGGACCCCCTAAGAGAAAGACTTCTCCCAATTACACCACCAAGGAGGTTTCCTTTTCTAAGAATTCTTTAGCCAGCTAGTAAGGTTTCCTTTGAAAGTTTCCTTCTCAGCCACAGGGGATCTTGACGGGGGATCATCTTTCAGTTCTTGGGAACTACATCCACATATTCTAGCTAACCTATATCTTGTTTTTGAAGTCTGGAGTCTCTTCTAGGTGATATGATGATGTTATTTTTATAACTTTCATTGTTGGAAAATTATTTTTCAAAATTATTACTAAATTCAAAGAAACAGGTAATGTGCGGTGTTGTTATTTTGCAGAGAATCCCAAAACATTGTATTTTGTTATTCACGTGTCTCCCAATCTTCTTTCAGACAGATGGACTCTTTTTTTTTTTCTCTTTTTTTTTTTTAAGTGCATAGTGTTAACTGTTCTTTGGAAGGTTACTGGTTGATCTTTGGTGCTGCTTTTTAATAATTAAGTTATTTTGAGCTTGCCAAGTAGGATTTATTGTCTGGACTAAAATTTATTTCCTAATCTTCTGACGACCTAGAGAGGAGAAATTAAGTTTGCAGATGTGAGATGAAATATAGCCATACTGATTCTGAATGAAACGAATCAACTTGTTTTTCAGTCAAGAAACACAGGCTGCACGCAATAATTGAATTTTTCTTCCTGCTGAAACAATTTGTTTAATTCTCATTTGAACACTGCCCTTTCTCCATTAAGAATGCTAATGATTAGCTAACTTTTTTTTTTAAGAAATCTGTTTTTTTAGTTAAGCTCAGAATTCTTCAGATGTTTTTTATCCTGGAGAAGACTGTCGAAGGGGAGTGATTTGACAGTATTATTCTTTGAAAATAACTTTATTGTTATTCAAAGCAATACATGCTCATAGTATAAACTTTAGAAGCAAAAAGAATAAAAACCACCCATAATCCCACCACCTAGAGATAATGGTTTTTACATATATTCTCTTCCAGTCTTTTTTCTATGTATACACAAACACATATATTTATAATTTTATTACAAAAAATGGGATACTGCTATGTTATAAAACAATATGTTTTTATAACCTGCTGTTTTAATTTAACAACAAATTACAAATATTCTTAAATTACTTAATTATAACATTCATTAAACATATTTATGAGTAAAATACTAAAATCTACACAGAATAAAAATGGAATGACATCTTGGTTCATTCACTCACTCATTTTTTAAAATGTTTAGCACATTGCCTGGTTTGTAGTTAATGCTCAATAAATGTTTAAGACTCATCACCATCATTATTATTAATTTATTCCTTAATCACTATTAAATTATTTATTGATAATTTATTAAGGACCCTACTATATACCAGGCACTGTGCTATAAACTGGGAATGCCAAGAGTGTAAGATGAAGAGGAGAGTGATGGGATTAAGGATATAAGGTGAGGACTTTGATATTTACTTGATATATTTCAAAACAGTTACCATGGTTGATTTTCAGAATTAAAAAAGTAAATACAAAAATCTAAAAAATGCACCCATGCAGTTGTGCAGGAGTGGCAACCAGGATGAATGGAGTTGGGGAGCATCACACACAAAGTGAGTTTGTGCTTGATCTTGGATGAGTGAACCTGGCAGTGAACCCAGGAGGACACTGACATTCCTTGAGGAAAGACAGCATGTGCAAAAGCATAAAGTCATGCACAAACCTGGGTTAGCCCTTAAGAGAACTTCTTAACTATAATGAGGGCTGTGTCACTCGAAGCTTCATTATCTAAGGAGGCTGTTGAACACGCTCTAGAGGCTTTTAATAACAGGATGATTTTGCTGGTCTGTCTGGGCTGCTTAGATATAACACTACTTAAATGACCCAATCTTGTTATATTGCAGAATATTTCCATTTTTTAGGTTAAGTAAGAAATTTTGGACATAAAAAAATCTGTATTTAAGACAGTCTTTGTCAGAATTGCTTTTTGGCTTTAAATGAAGCTATTGCATTTGTATTCAAAGCTGACTTTTAGTAAAAGCAGGAATGACTATATTCAAACTGGTGACCTCTCAAATCCTGCCCACCCTTTCACCTTCTGTCTGAATGCTCTGATGGCCATAGTGCTACTTATCAAAAATGTGTGCAAATGTTCTTGGCTAACAGGAATGGTTTTTGTCTGGGCTTGTCTAGTAGCACATTTATAAAAGAATTCATCATTTTCATGACTGGTACTTGGAATGTGTCAGATAATTCATTTGATGGTGAAAGGGCTTTTTTGGGTAGTGAAATGGGCATTCAAGAAAAGGACATGCCCGTGATAAACAGAGTGGATGCCTGTGCTTGCCTAGCCATATGTAGCGAACACAATTGCAGATGTACTTTATTCTTCTGTCTGTTGCCTCTATAAATGTTGCTCTGTACCCTTCAGAGCAGGGCATCCTGGGAGAGTTTCATACCTTTTGGAAAGCTGGGAAGAGCTCGTCAAGACTTTGAAACCTAGGTAGTGTGCCTGGTGACAGAGAGGGCTTCCTGACCACTCGAGGCTGTCATCAAATTAATCTGCCCAGGTGACATCAATTAGGAATGTGAAGCATGACCTATAGAGGTCAGTTGTTTGCAGGACTCCCAAGAAAATAATCATAGAATCTTAAAGCTTGAAGTTATTTTTTAAATCACTTAACCCAATTCTCATTTGAAATATTTTAAAAAATAAATCCAAAGAGGATGGGTAGCTTGCCCATGGTCCTCCGCCAGAGCTGCAACCAGAACTCTGATTGCCACAAGTATTTTATCAACACCCTATTGAAGAAGCTGAGTGAAAGGAGAGGCTCAGAAACAGCTTGACAATTTTCTCCTCTTATTTGCCTTAAGTAAGGAGTTGTTAGAGTCCCTGGGTGGTGCAAATAGTTAAGGTGCCCAGCAGCTAACCAAAACATTGGAGATTCAAGTCCACCCAGAGGTGCCTCAGAAGAAAAGCCTACTGATCTACTTCCGAAAAACCAGCCATTGAAAACCTATGGAGCACAGTTCTACTCTGGCACTCATAGGATCACCATGAGTTAGAATCAACTTGATGGCAGCTGGTTTTAAGAAGATGGTTCCTGATCACTTTGGCTTTCTATCATTCCTCTTCTATAACACATGATCTAGGAGTATCTATATTTGTCCTGCTTTTTTTATTGTTATTATTAAAAAATAAGTTTAAAAATATGCAAATAGCCCTGCAAGACCAGTGTAGAAGAAACTGCACTCACACACCCAGTTGCTACTCCACCCACCCATAGACAGGAGGAGAGAGCTTGAAAATGGCCAGATTAGAGATCAGAGTAGCACACACACACAGCCTACTTGGATATGTCAAAACAAAATAAAAACAGAAATTTAGGATGCAGCAAACAAACATACAATAAACAAATAAATATAATAACTTATTGATACTTCGGAGACAACAGACAATATCAAATCACATAAAGAAACAGGACAAGATGACTCCAGCAAGTGATCAAAATAAAGAACCAGAAAACGTTCTGGAGGAAGATAGGGCAATGGAAATACCTGTTAAACAATTTGAAAGACTAATATACACAGCTCTCCAAGAGAGCAGGGAAAAAACAAAACCAAGGAAAGACAAACAAATAGAAGAATTCGGGAAAACTGTACAAGAACAAAGCGACAAAATAAATAAACAATTAGAAACCATACAAAAACAGCAACTAGAAATCCAAATGATCAACAATATAATTTCAGAATTAGACAACTCAATAGAAGGACCCAAACCTACTGCCATCGAGTCAGTTCTGGCTCATAGTGACCCCATAGGGTTTCCAAGGTTGTAAATGTCTACGGAAGCAGATTGCCACATTTCTTCCATGAATAGAAGGATATAGGAGCAGAATTGAGAAAATGGAAGACGTAATTAGTGAAATTGAAAACAAATCAGTCCATATTGTTTGAGGAAAAATCAAAAAAAAAAAGAATGAGGAAAAATGAAGAAAGCCTAAGAATTATGTGGGACACTATCAAGAGGAAAAACTTACATGTGACTGGAGTTCCAGAACAGGAGGGAGAAATATAAAACGCAGAATTTTTGAAGTTTTGCTGGCAGAAAATTTCCCTAATATCATGAAAGACGAGAAGATATCCATCCCAGAAGCTCAATAAACCCCATACAGGATAGACCTCAAAAGGAAGTCACCAAGACATATCATAATCAAATGTACCAAAACCAAAGACAAAGAAAAAAAACTGAGAGCAGCTAGGGAAAAACAAAAAGTCACCTACAAGGGAGAACCAATAAGACTAAGCTCTGATTACTAAGCAGAAATCATGAAGGCAATGGGATAACATATATAAAGCCTTGAAAGAAAAAAACTTCCGGCCAAGAATCATATATCCAGCAAAACTCTCTCTCAAATACGATGGCAAAATTAGGACATTTCCAGGTAAACAGAAATCAAGAAAATTTGTAAAAACCAGACCAAAATTACAAGAAATATTAAAGGGAGTCCTCTGGATAGAGTACCAGCATCAAACAGCAATCTGAGATTAGGATACAAGACAGGTCAAACAGACAACAACCCAGGTAAAGAATTCTCAAAAATGAAACAAAGCTAAAAGACTGAAAGTAGGGATCTAGACACGTCAATACATAAACGACGACAACATCGAAACAAAAGAGAAGGAATAAGCAGTGTAGTTATAGAGCATTCATATGGAGAAGAAGTCAAGGCAATATCAGGAAATAAAAGACTGGTTTAAACTTAGGAAAATAAATGTAAATTTCAAGGTAACAACAAAGGAAGCCAACAGACCTACCCATCAAAAGA